GGAACTGTATGTAAACTATCGTTCTAGGATGTACTATATGGGATTGTATGTAAACTATCGTTCTAGGATGTACTATGTGGGACTGTATGTAAACTATCGTTCTAGGATGTACTATATGGGACTGTACGTAAACTATCGTTCTAGGATGTACTATATGTAAACTATCGTTCTAGAATGTACTATATGGAACTGTATGTAAACTATCGTTCTGGGATGTACTATATGGGACTGTATGTAAAATATCGTTCTAGGATGTACTATATGGGACTGTATGTAAACTATCATTCTAGGATGTACTATATGGGACTCTATGTAAACTTTCTCTCTAGGATGTACTATATGGAACTGTATGTAAACTTTCTCTCTAGGATGTATTATATGGAACTGTATGTAAACTTTCTCTCTAGGATGTACTATATGGAACTGTATGTAAACTTTCTCTATAGGATGTACTATGTGGAAGTGTATGTAAAATATCGACATTGAAGTACTATATGGAACTGTATGTAAATTTTTTCTCTAGGATGTACTATATGGGACTGTATGTAAACTTTTTCTCTAGGAAGTACTATATGGAACTGTATGTAAACTATCGTTCTACACAACTTATATTCATAGCTTCTAAAGAACAACATACTGAATCCTCAGCTCTCCTGTTTTGTCGGATGCGATAATCTGGTGGTATCTTGGTGTTTCTTTACTCTCTGACATACTGTTCGTTCAATTTATCCAATGTGTTTTTATCCAAGGAAACAATATGACTGGTAAAGAAGAATGTGATTAAAAATGTTATCAACCTTACTGTGATACAAAATCGCATCTATTACTAAATAACAGGTCAAACTTTGCTAACTTAACTTAGTAACAGATGGTTGTTTCAATGGATTGCATCAACTGATTAAACAAGCCATTTTGTCACATATTTTTAGAGTCCGGAGGAACAGTTTGAACACCTCCTCATGCGAAGAACTAAATATATCATTCACAATATGTCAACGTCTCTTTGCCCCAGAGAAGCCAGTGTGGTCAGGACCAACATCACTCTCGGTGAGTTCTAAAAAAGTTTTACATTATTTTCTACCTTTAATCAATAAAAGTCCAGATTTTGAGTGGATTGTTTATTATAACGTTTCGACCACTCGTTTGGCCATCATCAGGTAACTGTCATCTATTGTGTGAAATACTGCGCCAGCATTTTGTACCAATTTAGAATACATATAGGGCGACACCTGTGTTTTGATTTAGATTAGGTTTAGTTCAAGAATGCTTATTTTATTTTTATTCTATTAATGTTGTTCTTATGGCATAATTTCTTAAAGTCGTTAATGTTAATTGAATGTTGATGCGTTGTGCTGTGTTCGTAAATGTGGGATGGGAGATTATTATGTTCTTTGATCCTAATATTTATGTTGCGTTCCGTTTCGCCTATGTAAGTGCTATCGCATCGACCACATTGAGACTTGTACACAGTGTGGTCACGAGTAAATAGACACCGCCTTTTCAGAAAAAAATGAAAATTTTCAGTCATATTCACATGAATTGATATATTTGTAATTTAATTAATATCTAGTAGATCTTTCTTTCGCTTGGTGGAGTTCGTTGAACCTTTGGGGCATCGTGAGAATCATCTCGTCAATTTTAGATTGTGGTATTTTCGCC